TACTTTTTCTTATTTTGCACATTTTATGATATAGTTCTGTTTGAATTATTACTGTATTTATTGCAGATTTATGGCAGCTGACTCTCAGTATTGTAAACATATATGGCAGATAACAGATTTTACCAAAGTAACAAATAATAAAACTAAAGATATTTTCTTCAGAATTATTTTTTAATTTAGTTTTAGTTAACTAAAATAACTTTTGGAGTAATTCAGGTTTTTTGCGTGTGTCACATTTTAATTTAGATATTCAAAGGGAGGCCCTATCATGATTTTGTCTTTATGTCCTCCCTGAAGAAAATACAAGAGCTGCCCAATCCTGGCTTAAAGCACATCCAGCTCCTTTCAGGGGCTGTAATTTACAAAACAAATAACACGTTTTATTTATTAAGACCTAAAGCTAGTGATACAGCCAATAAACTCATCAAGAATGTGTTTGCTGGGCTCGTAGATCAGGTAGGAAGTAGAGAAGTTTTCTCATAGACTTCTATTCCATTGAAACCAGGTGAGTCGCCCCCTACTGGACATTCGCGAGAATGCATGTTTAAGACAGGGACTGGTTTCAACCCCGACATATATGTACAAACATGCATATACCACACATACACAGAGAGAGAGACACACACACACCTACACACACTGTTTCTCTCTCACACACACACACAGATACAGACACACACACACACACACATACAGGCACACACCTACACACTCTCTCTCTCACACATACTATACCCTGGGTCTGTCCGTCAAGTCAGTGTTTTATGATCCTGAGCAGGAAAACTGGGAAAACCCTCCAACCTTTCATTAGATAATTACTAATAAATAATTACAAACCGATATGTAACATCGCGCGCAGGAGCAGCAGCGGCGGCAGCACGTGGCGCTGGGTGTGACGCGCAGCCACAACAACAACACTGCTGTCAGATCTCATCATCGCAGCAGCTCCGGTGTTAAAATCAGCCTCACTCGGGATTTTTCTGTCTCTGCGGAAAAACCCAGCACAGCTCCAGAGCACACCTCTCGCCGCCGCCCTCTGAACTGTGACCCGATTTGTTAAAGAGAGGCTCGGTAGACTCGCGGCACCGCCTCGTGCAGCTCGGCTGCAGCCCGCAGACATGCAGACTAAAAACAGCGATTTTTTGAATGGAGTCTGGCGGAGCAGCGGGGAGCCAGCCGGGGCCGTGTGTAGGTGCGCCGGCGGGTGACAGAGCTCCTACCTGCTGGCCTGACCCTTCACCTGCAGCTCCTCCGTCACAACGTCCAGGTGCCGCTCAGCTGATTGTCTCCCGCTGCGGCTCGCGCTCAGCCTCACATCACCTGGACTCTGCGCGCCGATTGATGACGCCGACGGTCGCCTCCCGCGTGCAGCGATCCGATCAGTCATGTAGGGTCGACACTCTGTTCATCACTCTTCATCCTCCTCGACACGGCGGCCACTCTCTGTGCTCAGTGAAGCTCCATCAGCAGCAGCAGCAGCAGCAGCACGAGGCGCGCTCACGACGCCAGCACCATGCGGCGGGCATGCGCACGCCCTCGCCCGACTCCAGCAGGAGGTCCCTTCATGTTTCACAACGCGACGTGTCTGTGAAGGTTCTCAGTCATCCAGGTCATCGTAGTCTAAGGAGCTTGGAAAGAAAAGCGTCTGGACTTCTTTAAGTCGCTTGAAGACGTTTCACCTCTCATCCGCGACGATAATCAGAGGAAACTGTATCTGATGTAGATCCATCCGCACACCTACATCAGTCTGCTTACACCACGCTTTTGTCACAACTTGATTTATAAAACACGTTTCAGCCAAAAAACTAAGTTTTAAAAAACGTCTTAGTGAAGGTCATAGACTGGATATAAAGGATGGAAGTGCCTTCCTTTTCCGTGACCAGCAGGGGGCGACTCATGTGGTTTCACGAAGAAAGAAAAGAAAAACCTTTTAATTGTTCTTATTCATGTTACTGTGTCTGACTAATAACACTGCACTGCTGGACAGTTCTATGTGTAACAGTGGTCAGCCTTAAAATAACTGCTTTGTCTCCAGCTCTGCTCTCTGTGGAGGAATAAAACGTATTTGACCAGTCCTCATCTGTCAGTGTTATACACTGCAACACTTTTTAATCAGAGTTTAGCATCAGCTCAGTTAAACCTCCAGGTATATTGATGTGGTCAGAGGGTTGTTGATCAGTTTCATCTGCTTTGGCATTAATGAAACTAACAACAGAGGAGCAACAATGAGACAACCCCAAAAACAGGAATGGTTTTACAGCTGACAGCCACTGACATTTTTCCCTCTTCATCTTTTCTGTATTTTACTATTTAGCATTTGGCTCGGGTCAGCGTCACTACTGGTAGCATGAAGCGATACTTGAACCTTGCACAGGTACTCCAACTCCTCCAGGATTTCACCCATTACCACACGGTTTGCTGTGGCACAGTCTCAGGAGCATGGAGGAGATTCCAGGAGACAGACAGTTGCTCTAGGAGAGTTGGACAGGGCTGTGGAAAGCCCTTAATCCATCAGGAGGACCAGTATCTGCTCCTTTGTGCAAGGAGGAACAATGAGCACTTCCAGAGCTACAAAATGACCTCCAGCAGGCCACTGGTGAGAACGTTTCTCACAAAACAATCAGCAACAGACTTAATGAGGGTGGGCTGAGGCCCCGACATCCTCTAGATCCAATAGTTCACCTCTGGGACAGTGCCATCCAGACTGTCCAGAAGCTCAGAGAAGGCCTGGTCCAGATCTGGGAGGAGACCCCACACACCAACCTCTGAAGCCTCATTAGGAGCATGCCCTGATGTTGTCAGGTATGCAAAAGTGTTCCTTTAATTTGCTTCCTTTTCTCATTTGACTTTGACGTAAAAGCTGGAACGTGACTGTATACATAAATACCGATTTCTTGTAGGCATCAGTGAAAATGATATGAACACTTTCCATCACAACCAGTGCAGTCTCTTCACATTTCCTCCTTTTACTGAGATGAATGTCTGTGTGCCAGAAGAGACATGAAGCCAGGTACGATCACTGTGCTCCCTCTGTGATGGAAACCCTCCTATTCCACATGATGAATGCTGGAACAGCTCCAGCTCTGACGGAGGCCGGGGCAGCAGGTCTGTGTGATCAGCTGGAGAAGAAAAATCATATGTAAGCTTGAAAACTCAAAGGAAAACAAGTCATTTCACCTTTACGTGAACCACAGGGATCACGAAAAATCAACTTCACTCAGCGAT